GGCGCCTTGGCCCAGAGCGCGGCCGCGCCGCCCTGCAGCTCCAGGCACACGTCGGTGCCGTTGGAGTGGAAGTCGTTGTCGGCGTTGACGTCGACGAAGGAGCCTGTCCGCATGGTGATGTGCGCCTCGATCTCCTCGCGGGCCCGGTCCACGTTCTCGGGCATGCCCGTCACCTCGAAGACGGGCTCCTTGTCCCGGCTCGGCGTCACGATGTACGTGTGCGTCTGCTGCTGGATGCGCTTGATGGTGGCTCCCTTGGGCCCCACGACGAGCCCCACGACGCGGTAGGGCACCCGCACCTGGATGGTGGTCTGGCCCGGCAGGTTGGGCGGCCCCGGCAGGGCGCCCGCCAGCCCGTTGGCTTTGTTGCGCGTCGCCCGGATCATGGAGAAGTGCTCGGCGGCCGAGAGGATCTCCCGCTTGGCCATCTCCACGTCCTCCTTGCGGCCGGTGACGATGAAGACGGGCTCCTCGCCCCGCACGGGCGTCTTGATGTACGTGTTGGTCTTGGCGCGCAGCGCTTTGATCTTGCAGCCTGCGGGGCCGGGGGGACGGAGAAAAGCAGCCGTCAGAGCCGAGCAGCCGCCGGGCGCCCCTGCCCATCGCCCGCAGCGGGTGCCCTCCGTGAAGCCACCCCCAAAGCAGCCCGCGCTCCTCTTCCTCCCTCCCCCCGAGGAAGGGCAGGGCCCTCGAGGGGCTGCGGGGACAGGCCGCGCTCCCCCCARCACGGGGGCATTAATTAGCGCCAATAATTTACAGTGACGAAGCTGCCAGATTCCGCGAGCCAGGTATCGCCACCCTCCTCTCGGGCTGCGCCGACCCTTCCACAAGCCACATCCAGCACTTCTGCCCCGCCGATGCTGGAGGCGGGAACGGGACCTGGCCAGGGCCAGGGCCTCAGCTCATCCCTGGCTACAAGGTCCCGGACAGCAGAGGAAGCGTCGACTCGGCTGCTCCTTCCCAGCCCTTCCCACGGGCAAAGCCAGGGGCTGGGTAAGAACCSAAGGGGCGCCCGGCTCCAGCCTCCCCAAGGCAGCAGGGCCAGAGGGGCGCGGGCGGCCGCGGCTCCGGCTGCACCCGGCGGAGCCGGGGAAGGGGCTGGGCATCATCCCAGCCTGCTGCCTGGCACGAGCCCAGGCGGGAGCAGCCATGGGAGCCTGGGACACACGGGCAGCTCCGCGGGCTCCGGCTCCCCACGGGACACACAGGCAGCCCAGGACACATGGGCAGCTCCGGGGCTCTGGTTCCACATGGGACACACAGGAGCCTGGGACACACGGGAACTTGGGACACACGTGCAGCTCCGGGGCTCCAGCTCCTCACGGGACACACGGGCAGCCCGGGACACATGGGCAGCTCCGCGGGCTCCAGCTCCACATGGGACATACGGGCAGCCCAGGACACACGGGCAGCTC